CCTGAACTATGACCTGTATAAATAGTACGTTCGATGCTATCTTAGACCATGCCCTGAAAACCTTATAACCCCCCTTGCACCACTGTAAGGCCAAGCATATCCTTTGATTACACATATATATATATATAGACAAGACATCATATATACACACGCGTACATATACATGTAAACGTACGAACGCAATTTGTGTCTACGTCATATAAACGCATGCATGTACATATGTACGCATATACACATATATATATATATGCAAACATTGTGCAGATATAACTGCATACATATATATATATACACACATACACCTGCATAAGTCACATGCATGTATATATGTATATGTATACGCACATTCATGTGTAGAACTTCGATGCATCACGTTTTATATAGTATTATCGGACTAGCCCTATATACTATGAATGCGGGCTCTCAAAAACTGAATCCCATGTTATAAGACGCCCCTTAAGCCTCAAAGGCTTGAACCCCATGGATTGCCTTAATCCCTAAAGCTTCCCTTCAGAAATCTGTAACTGGGCTTCACCAATCCATCGTTCATTTTTGCGATCTCTAAACCCTAATTGGCTCAAAGTCGGGCTCAATCGGGCTAAGTTTTAAGTTTGATTTTGGGTTTTTTAAGCTATATATCCTGAAAACCCAAAAATCCTATGGACACCAGAAGTTTGTATGGCTTCTTACAAACCTTTTCATGTACGCCAGCAGCATGACCACACAAGGGGTGCACAAACGTACCCCCAGGTAGGAGGGGAAAGCCGCATTGACTACCTGTTCATTGGCGGCAAGGCGGTGATCGATGCTACCAAGAGCTATGTCAGTGCAGCCTTGGACAATGGCAGCCCCAATGACGATCACAGAGCTATCTGCCTGGAGGTGGTTGGTAAGTTGGAACAGGGTCGACAACGACCTAGGCTGCAACGTTTGAGGTTTGATGGTGATAAGATCCGATCTGCTGAAGGCAGAAAATTGCTGGCAGCAGCCTGTAAGAGATTCGAGCAACCGACATGGGACACTCATCCTGATGAACATTATCAACGTGTACAGGAACATTTGCTGGACACCTTGAAGGAAAACTTCGCGGTTGAGAAGGTTGGCTGCCATGCATCCTATATCCCTGACGAGATCTGGGAGCTTCGCCAACAAAAGAACCGGCTTCGAGGCAGAACCAGCTATCGCCGGGCTGACCACCATCGAAATCTCCCTGAGGCGTGGCGAGCATGGAAAACAGGTACAGTGTTTAGCTTGGGGCCGTGGATGCGGAAGCGACACGTACTGTATGAACTGATCGCGGCGGCTATCCGTTATGCAACCCACCGTGTTAAGGATGGTATTGCCAAGGCGAAGGATAAGTTCCTACGAAGTGTGGCTGCGGAGGGCCACCAAAATGTGGGAGCGATCATGCAGCGAGCCAAGAGAGCGGGAATTGGTTCGAAGGCGAGGAAGCCCTACTGCCGAGAACTACCGAAGCTGCTCAGCCCGACCACGGGCAATGAGGCGACCTGTACTGCAGACCGAGATGAGATTTGGCTGCACTACTTCGGAGCGCAGGAGGAGGGCACCATCAAAACAACCAGAGACTTTGTCGCGGAAGTGGCGGACTGGAGAGAATCCAACTGTGGCGACTGGGAATGGCATCTTCTACCATCAGCCCGGGACTTGGAGAAAGTCATGAGGGAGATGAAGCCTGGTAAGGCTGCTGGTTTGGATCAAATCCCCACTAATGTGATGTGTGCCTGCCCTGCTGAGATCACCCGGCTCATGCATGCACTCTATCTCAAAACACCGATTGTCGGCAGACAACCTCTACAATGGCGTGGAGGAGTATTGTTTGAGTCCTACAAGAACAGTGGCCAGAAGTGCCTTGCGGAAAACTACAGGAGTTTGTATATCTCCAGCTTCCCGGCCAAAGTCCTACACCGCGCAATGCGGCAGAAGGTTGACGGGGAGATCGATGCTTCCTTGCACCCGCTGCACTGTGGAACCCGTCGAGGTATGCCTATCAGCTTCCCCTCGCTTTATGTCACGAGTCACCTCAGGAGATGTGCTAGGTTGAAAAAGCCGGCTGCGGTGTTATTCATTGACACGCGGAGCGCATACTACAGATTGGTCCGGGATCTAGTGGTCGGAGATCTCCAACAAGACCGGTCTGTTGAGGAGCTCTTCTACAAGTTTGGGTTGGATGGCAATGACATCTCCGAAATGAGGGACCTCATCCGAGATGGAGGCATGCTACGCCAGGCTGGAACTCCAGAGCCGGTGCAGGCGGCAGTGCAGGATTTCCATCGCTACACATGGTTTGCCTCAAAATATACGGACGGTGGCAATCTATGCCATTCCGTTGCAGGATCCCGCCCGGGAGCTTCATGGGCGGATTGTGTGTTCGCATTCTTGTACACACGAATCTTGCACCGGGTCCACGAGATTTTGATCGGAGAAGACATCAATGGGGCCTTACCGCATGACCAAGAGGGAGGCCCGTTTGCCACCCACCCTGAGGGTCCATGTGAACCAATGTGGGATACCACATGGGCAGATGATACCGCCTATGTGATGGAGGAGGAGGACTCGCCGGGCCTCATCCTGTGTGTTCGTCGTGTCACCAGTGTGGTCCTCACAGCCTTCCGAACCCACGGTCTGGACCCAAACCTGAAGCGCAACAAAACAAGTGTGTTATTACGACTTTGTGGCCGCGGAGCGACAGCGGTGCGCAAGCAGGTGTTTGGGAGTGGCAAGCCGATGATCCATCTCCCGGACCTGGATGAAAGTGTACATGTGGTCCCAGTATACAAGCACCTAGGTGCTCAGCTGGACCCTCAAGTGGCACTCAGACAGGAGCAGCGCTTTCGAACAGCAATGGCTGCTGCAGCTTATGACAGTGCCAAGGACTTGCTCTTGCACAACCGAGACCTGGGTCTTGAGACTCGGGTCTCTCTGTTCCGCAGTGCTGTGGTCTCCACGTACTTCAACCTGGAGATATGGGTGCCGAAGGGACCCAGTTGGGACACCATGTGCGACAACTTCTCCAGACTAGTCCGTCGCCTCCTTTGCCGAACAATTACGGACGACAGCCTCTACAAGATCCCATTGCCACTTGCCCACTGGGCAACCGGATGCTGGCCACTCGACTACTTTGCACGGAGGTCGAGGATTTCGGCATTGATCTCACTGGTTCGGTCGGGCCCCCCGTTGCTCTGGGCCATGCTACAGAATGAGGCGACGTGGTGTACGACGGTTTGCGCTGACCTACGGTGGCTGGTGCATGGCGATACAGAGCGCTGGCCCGAAATAGGTCACCACGCATGGCCACAATGGTGGCATCTACTGAAGCAACAGCCGGACCGAGTGAAGCGTCGGGTGGCAAAGCGGAATGCTGAGGATTTCATAGTGTTCCAGGAGGAATCGGCGGTCCTGGTTTGCTTATGGAGCCTCTACAGGACGATTGCCCCGCCAACGTCGAGCCTCCTTGCCAAGGAGACATGGAGTTGCCCTATCTGCCAGAAGAAGTTTGCCAAAAGATCCGGGTTGGGAGCCCACTTCTTCAAAACCCATGGTCGGCATGCTGAATACCGGGAGTTCCTTGATGGCAGCAGGTGCAAGGCTTGCAACAAGGAATTCTGGACGATGGGCCGATTGGAGGATCACCTCCGCTACTCCAACAAGTGTGTCCGAGTGTTGCGCCGGGACTACAAGCCGCAACAGACGATCCCACCTGGCTATGGAAGCACCAAGCGGCGCCAGAACGAGACGGCCAACTACACGCCAGCGGCGCCCACCCGGGTGGACGGCCCTCTGAAGGAGTCAGAGGAAGCACAGTGGAACCAATGGCAACGAGCTCTTTATCGGGGACTTTCAGAGACTATCCTGGACGGCCAGGGTGACGAAGACCTCGATGACGTCGTTTCCACTGAGCTACGGAAACAGCCACTCTACCCTGACGAGATCCGACAAGTCATTGAGACCCTGATCAGCGAGGTCGAGGAGATCAATGCCGACAAGGATTTGGCACAATGGAGCGAGCAGGAGTTCGATCACATTGTCCGCTCTGTCAGGGAAGGATGCGATAGAGTGTGCTGCCAGGAAGCGGAGGAGCTACTGGGGGACAACAGTCTCCTGAAAAGACAGCAGTTCCACCGACAAGCGGCAGGCCTAGAATGGCATGCCATCGTCAACGACTACCTGTCCTCTGGTAACCAAACCAAAGAGGACGAGCACGGGACCCTGGAAAGTTCACTGTTTATCCTGCCAGACAACTGGGAAGCAGAGTGGAATCGTGGTAGGGGTGAACTTTTGAACTCTGCCGTGCTCAGAAACCCGTTGTCGTTGTTGCCCGCCGTACTCAGGGAGGCTTGGGCCTGCGTTGTAAAGAAGCAAAGGCCAGAGGTCAGAGCCCCTGAGAAGTTCTGGGCACATCCCGTAGCGGCACCGTACAGACCGCTCAGGGAATCTTGCATCTGTTAATTAAGCAGCGGACACCTCTGAATGCCAGGAAATGCCGAAAAATGCATGTGTACATATAAATATATATATAGAGAGAGAGAGACAGAGAGAGAGATAGAGAGAGAGAGAGAGCCTGTAAAGAGAGCGAGAGAGCGAGAGAGAGAGAGAGAGAGAGACACACACACACACACTACAACATGTTTAGATATGTGATCTGTGTATGAAATATCTGTATATGTACACACATGGACAACCACGACATATAGCTGCTATGTAGTTGCTTGTTAGGAATATCTATATAATCTACAATATCAACATTTGGACAGCTACGTGGACATCATTCACTTGGTACGAAGCTGCGCCCAAGCCGCTGCCGAACCCTCGTTAACTTAACTCCAAACCCAAGGACAAACTACACCTCACGAAAAAAACACATGTGAAGAAGCGGATGCCTCAAAGCATCAACCCCAAGAGACACTAGACCTTAAACTCTAAACCCCAAACTTTCAGCTCCAAGCCCTAAACTCTAGACCCCAAGGGAACCAAAGAGCTGCCTCGCTGATCACTGTGCATGCCGACTGCTTCGAAGCGCTGAAACTAACCTGGACCCGGACGGCTGTTTGAAAGTTCATGGTGCGTGGATGAAACTACATAACATTCATACATACATATATACATGCATGCATGTGTACGTGCATACATATATACGTACGTCCTTTACACTACATTACAGTACATTACGTTACGTTGCATTACACTACGTTACGTTGTATTGCATGCTTGCATGCATAAAGACATATTACGAGTATCTATGTACATCAAGGCTCGCATCTAGCCAGTTTACGCTTCAGGATTGCCAGGCATACAGATTTCAGGGTTACGAATCCTAGGTGTGGGTGCGGATGTGGATTGCTTACTCCAGAGCTGGGCGAATTAATTATACTGGGGCTCGAATACCTACCAATACTGTTCCCTGGGGTGCAATCATTAGAAACCAGCAGATGCTGCTGTTGTGTATGTATCCCGCCAAAGCCTGAACGACCACAAACCCACACATTCCAAACGCTAAATCGCCCGAAATTCGACACCGCAGACGCATGTCCTTCTGCTCATACATAGAACCCAAACTCAACGTACTGAACTATAGACTGTCAGACTGGCAGATGAAGCCGTGAATAATGCCTAAGCTCTCAACTCTCCTGAACGGGTAACCCTAACGCAGGCCCTATTCCTATGTCCCCTCAACCTTAATTCTGAACACCAAGAACCTGAAGCCGAGATCTTAAAGTTTCAGCCCTAGATCCTGAGCCCTAAACCCTACATCCTCGAAGTCCCAACCCAAAAACCTCTAAACCCCCAAAAAACCCTTGACCCCAGCAAAGTCCCGCATGGCTGCCCTCCTGTCTGGAAGCCAATGGGCATTTCTTGATGCTCTTGCCAGATATCATGTAACTTTTCTGCGAAGGCGGAATGTTTCAGTCGCTGGTGTTCCAACCCTGATGAACTTGATGCTGTAGCATGGCTTCGATGAATTGCAGAGCACCTTGCTAAATTGCATGCTGACAAGTTCAACTGAAACGCTTGCAACTAGTAGATGGTACAAGTAGCCTAGTCGTCATGCTGTGAGCAGGCAGAAGTCCTGATGGTTGACGCACCTACTGACGAATGTCCAACCGAACCCTAGGCGCCTAAACCCCCAAACCCTACCCCTAAACCCCGAAACCCTGAACCCTAAACCCCAACCCTAACCCTCGGGCCGAAGACGAGTGGGGGGGGGGGGGGCGCGGGGTGCCTTGGGAAGCCCACAGAGCCAGCGAACAAAGTTCAGGTAGGAGAACGTTGCGGAGATCTCCTGAGTTTAGGGTTTGGGCTTTGGGTTTAGGGTTTTTTTAAGTGCAATGGCTCTTTCTCCACCACGCAGCCTTGCAGGTCTTAGAGGTTTAGGGGGTTTGGGGTTTAGGGTTTAGGGTTTATACGGGTCTTTCTGGAAGGGTTAGGGTTTCAGAAGGGCTTATAGGGCCGGGATAGGCTTCTTCCAGCTTTGGGTCTCTGTGGGCCCGGAAGAGATTCTGTCCCGAGGCCCTGTTAGGGCTTTAGGGTTTGTCGGGTTTGGGGTGGGGATTAGGTTCCCCTAATAGGATTCATATCAAGGAACCCCTATCCCAAGAATCTTTAAGGTTAGGGCGCTCGAGTTTTAAGGAGAAGGTTGAACTTCGGATTGAGGGTGCCCAGCGTGAGGCTTTAGGGCCTTTCTGCTTGGGTGCGCCACACATGTCGTAGGGGCTGCCGATTCAGATTCTGGGTTAGCGCTTGCAGGCCTTAAGGTTTAACCATGAATTTCTGGTGATTGTGGGGGCCCCCTTCTTCCTACCTAGCTGCATGTCAAGATTGTAGGCATACAGCAAGCTAACCCAGAATGGAACCTAAGCCTAAAAACTGCACCAGGGTCCGGGCGGCCCTATGAGCGGCGGAGGCCTGGTGTTCGTCCTCGCTGCTTGCCGCGCCCTGGCACGCGGGAGTTCGGCTTTAGGGTTTAGCGGCGCTTAGGGCTTAGGGTTCAGGGCTTCGGATCCATAAGGTTTATGCTTAGAGTTTAGGGCTTACGATTCAGGGTTTAGCGTTTAGGGGTTAGGGAGGAGTCCGGGTATAAAAGTTTAAAGATTCAGGGATGTACTGCTTGGGGTCCAGGGTTTTAGGGCTTGCGGCTCCCATGTCTCAGGGTGTAATGTTTGGGTGAACATCAGCTGCCAGGGTTTTAGTTGGGGTACAGTAAACCCCATAGAGTTGGAACCCGGATTCAGGCCAAATAGTGCTGGGATTCCCCATACTACTATCCATTACTCTCGTTTACGGTTAAGGTGCCCGCGCATCGACAAAAGCAGCCATGCAAAAGCAATGCAAGCAGCGCTCTCTCGTCGGTGCCAGCAACAACGGACCTCGATGACAGAGGGTTTGCGAGTTTCTAAAGAGCCTGCATTGTGGCCACTGTGCTGGATGCACGGTTGTTTGCAACAAAGGTAGTGAGCGTGTGGGTAGCTTAGATGCGGGCGAGCTACGAGAACTCAGACTCTCTTCTTCAAGAGTGTTGCATTTGGGTTGCATTGTAGCTGCATAGTAAGCTCCAAGAACAAAAGGGCTTCGGGTCTTTTAGGAGATGGCCCAACACAGTCAACACACAGTAGAGTCGGCTTGTATTAGCAGTAATTACTCGCACTCTAATCCCAAAACTGACACCCAACAACATTCGAAGGAGACCCTAAACCCTAAACCCAAAACCCCTAAACCCTAAACTCTAAACCGTCTTTAAGCCGTACTTCTGTATCCTTTTTCTGCTCAGCCCTTAGAGCCCCTAACCCTGCATGATCCCCATATAAACTCTTCTTATAGACCTCTCATGGACCCCTAACAGGTCGAACCCTTAGAGAACACATTTAGGACCCCCCAAAAAGGATCATCTAAGGATCCCTAAACTCTTCGTTCTCAGCTTCCTGCTTCCGGATTTCGGAAGGCAGCGCCGCCTCCTGGAAAGCCGGGTTCTTTTTGGGCTGCAGGAGAGGCCACAACCAGGGGTCCTTTGAGGGGCGGGTTCAGGGTTTTGGGTTTTGGGTCTAGGGCGTCTACGGTTTAGGGGGATTCCCTTGTTAAAGAGTTCCTTGAAGCATCCTTCCGCAACGGGTACCTTAAAGCCGGGCTCCTCAAGGGGTCCTGTTAGATGGTGCCAGAAAATCAGAGGGTCTAGCCGCGGAATCAATGCTTTAGGAAATTTACTCTAAAGTTCGGAGGCTGCACTCTACCATCGTTCCCAAACCTCCAAGTCGTACTAAACCCCCAAACCTCCAAGTCTTGCATCTTTCGGAGAATGTGCCGATTCGGAAGTCCTCGAGTAAGCGCTGGAGAGCCTGTGCCTGATTAAGGATTTCATGTCGGGCGTTTAGGAGAGCCTTCCTTGCAGAACCCTAAGTCATATAGGATCCTGCAGACGAGAACCCCTAACATCGTAAACCTGACATCCGATTATAGAACATATTGAACCCTAAACCCTGAACCCTAAACCCTGAAGCCTAAAGTGAGGGTAACAAAGGCACAGGATCTCGCGTTTGGGGCTTAGGGCTAGGGCTCCCCAACACGTTGTTGGAGGACCTTGAGTTTATAGGGGTTTAGGGTTAAGGGATTCAGGGTTTAGGGTTTAGGGATTCAGGGTTTAGGGTTTAGGGATTCAGTCAGGGTTTAGGGTTAAGGGATTCAGGGATTTGGGTTTAGGGTCTGCATGGGATGGCTTATGCATTATCGCCGGCCCCGCCGCTGGCAGGAATCTCGAGCAACCCTAAGATCGTGAACATGGAAGGTGCGGCACCCTCAACCCTAAAAAGGGTTTAGGGTTTAGGGCTTAGGGTTTAGGGTCTAGGGCTTAGGGTTTAGGGCTTAGGGGGTTTATGAGAATAGTGATGCCACGAATGTCAAACATGATGTCTAAGCGGCATTAGCCGTGACATGAATTCAACACAAGAGTTCAGCGCACCCCAAATACAAGCTCACAACACAGGCCTTACCGTTGACAGAAGGGCTGGCGGCAAAAGAGCATGGTAACGGTTGATGATATAAATCCTGCATTACCTTATATATAAGGACCCTAAACTATGGGAATTATGGTATATTCCTTACTATGGGTAATGCAGGATTTATATCATCAACCGAATCACTACAATCACCTGCCAACTACCGATTGCCAGGGCTCTCGGACCAGTTGCTGAAGCAAATATCGCTGGAAACACGCTCCTCAAAGCCCAAAGCCATATATCCCAAGCCAAAAAATTCTAAACCCCCAAACCCTAAACGCATAAACCCATAAATCCTAGACCAGCGACCCTGATTTTGCAACATCAAAAGTCTACGCCCTCCGAAACCTTCAGCTCTAGCGGCTGCCTGAGCCTGCAACAAACGAACCCGGGCAAAGTTCCCCCGTAACAGTTCTATGGGGGGGCTTAAGGTTGAGGGTGTTTAGGGGGTTTAGGGGGTTTAGAATTTGGAGTTTAGGGGTTTAGGGCTTGGGGTTGAGGGGGTTGAGGGGGTTTGAGGTTTAGTGTTTCATGGACGTCCCGTCCAACAATAAAACCCTCGAGCCCGTAGTAGCAGGATCCCACTCCTGTGGTCTTCCCAAAAGTAACTTAGAAGGCTAGGGTTCAGGGCTGAGAAACCCGGTACACCTCAAAGCCTGAACGAACAAACCTTAATGCGCAAACCTTAAACCCTAAAAAGCTCTGGCCCCATAGTAGCCTTGGGCAGCAAGTCGGGATCATCGGACCTTTATGGAATGGGGCGATAGGGTCTAGGGTTCAGGGTTTGGGGGCCATCTGTAGTCAGCCTCTATAGGGACAACAAAGGGAGACGACTGCGGTACCCATTATGAAATCAGCAAAGCAACTGGGATACCAGGCGAAGAGACTTGTAACTAGGAGACCGCCTTCGAGGGGTTCTGGACCTTTTGAGAGTTTGTTAACTCCGTCTATTCCTTCAAACACTTCGGGACTTTGGTCTCTCAGTCCATATTCCAAAGCCTCGGGATCTACATCACTGCATCAGGCTTCCTCAGTATGATTTCCTTGTATACGCCCTCACAAAGATAGGCTTTGGGAGGTGAGGTAGGGTCTACGGCTTAAGGTGGACTAGGGTCTAAGGGTAGGGAGTTTGATTCAGGGCGTAGGGTTCGAGGTCGTCGGGCGATTGGGGCTTAGGGCATGGGTTTAGGGGTTTATGGGGCTTTAGGGTTGGGCTTCGGGGTGTATTGTAGGATTCGGAATCAATCCTACACCCTGTGCCGTGCTTCTCGATGGCGTCTGGTCGTACATGCTAAGGTGTGTGTTTTGCAGCCAGGCTGGCTATAGAAGATGCCATCGCCAGACCAAAGCCCCAAAGACTTTGGATCACCAAGGCTCCAAACACAGGAAACTCTTTGCACCGTTGGCAGAACCATCTGCAACTCAAATTGTCCTTCGCCTGTGGCAGATAAGCCGAACATGTAGCACATGCTCAGCGGCAGCATGTCGCAGAACTTGGATGATGTTGGTAACCGGTTGCTCGTATGTACTTACCGGGGCATGTTTCACGTCTCTTGGTACTCGAAGGTCCTGGCATGCATGAAGCTTACACAACAATTGCTGTGTAAGTAGGCGCATAGAAGCGCATGACAAGCTCCAGATGACATACGACGACACATGATGCTCGGCATTCCTACATTCGCTGGTGTGTTCCCTGCTGATCGAATCAGCAGCAGCCTGAACATCTTCAACAAAGAACCTGAGGCCGTAAACCCAGAAGGCCGAACCATCCCAAACAAACAGGCACGAAAGACCTCTTCCAAAACGAACAAACTTAAACAACACGATATTCTAAGCTGTAGGTTCAAGCAGACCCCATTCTCAAAACCCTTAATTGCCAACCATAGCCACCGACGGAAGCCCCAACAACACAGAAAGTTGAGGCTACGGACGCCAGCTCGGGAAGCCTCGGTACAAGGGTTGTCTGCCCCACTAGGCTTTGATTCTTGTTTTAAAGTGCAATGGCTCTTTCTCTGAGATCAGAGTCTTTACTAGGGTCTATAGGGGTCTCAGGTTAAAGGAGCAGGGAGTGGAGCTTAGGTGGTCTATGCCACATTATTTTCCTCCGTTCCCTCTTTTTTTTCTTGGTTGATTGACAATCCCGCGGATGAAGGGCGGTAGCGGCACGATCGTAATCCAAAAGCGCCGCAAGTACCTTTAGGATTTCTGTATTGGGAGGCAATGTTGTGTTATGATTTGGGCGAGTATCCCCGGCAACAGTACTAAGGACCCTTTGGGAATTACACTCTTCCTGAGGAAGCGGCTCTCACACAAGCACATTGCCAGGCAAGCGTGTAAACATGGGCGAATGACGGCGATATCCCTCTACGGAGGTAGGATTCAGCCCTGTAGTACGTGTAAACCTCTTGCCCCTAGTTTAGGGCTCTAGGGTATTGAAATCTCGCCCCACCGTCTTAACTACGCCCAGCCAACAAATACTTCAGAACCTTTGCGAGGAACAGCGAACCATCAATGCTTGAAATCCAGAAAACTACGGCCAAGCCCCAAAACAGACCAACCTGAAACCGAATCCTCGGACCCCCCAAATATTAACATTGAGCTTCGGAACCACCGGCACAGTCTGGGAAAGTTAGCTTTGCATATACGGCAACATCTGCCGGGAACATATTGAAGCCACATAAGTGTATCGTCTGCGCTTTAAGACGATTACAATTTTCTCTCTCTGAGAGCAAATGATTACCACCAAACTAACTTCAGTATCCTGCTTGAAATTGACGCTGGGCAAGTTTGACTATGAAGTTGAATCTCCCCTAAGGGTCCATGTACGAAAATAGTATATACGTTGGCCTTAAGCTACTCCCTATATCCCTATCTATATATATATATATATATATATATATATAGATATACATATATATATATATATATATATATATATATTATACGTACATAGGGCCTAAAGTATATACTATTTGGGGTACATGGACCCTGAGGGTTCTAAGTGCCCTGCACGTGCCACTGGTAGGCCTCGAAAAAAGCTTCCTCGCAGTCAAAGGCGAAATTTAGGGGCCTGAATAAGTAGACCAGGGTATTGTGGCAAAGTATACTACCACTACAACAAAGGACCCCGAAATAAAATAGTATAGGTAGTTTTCAAGGTCGCTATATTACCAGTACGGCTCCTCACAGGAGTTGTGAAGCTCAGCAGCTTAACGCTGGGAGGCATAAAGTGAATAACGATTATGGCAGAGCTTAAGCCATCGCGACACATCACAAACACTTCTGAAGGTCCAAGCAAAGCACCGCAAACATCATCCTGCTCGCCTCTTCATGTATTCTTCGATCATCCATGTTCCCATCCGTCTATCCGTCTACCTGTAAATGTAGATATGGATATAGACGATATACAACATGAAATCGACATGGAGACATGAAGATGTAGATATGACTGATATGAAGATATGACTGACACAACAAAACACACAGCACCACAGGACTGAATCCTGAAATCATGATACTCTGCAAACCCTCAGACGGCTCAGTCCCCGCAAGAGTCCTTGGAACGCCACACGATTCCGGTCGGAGGGTTTAGGGTTCAGGGCCTCGAGTTTCAAATTGAAGTGACTTTCAACTGTAGCGGCGCGGTTCCCTGACAAAAATATTCATTGCCATGCTGTCAGCGAGGCCCCAGGGAACAGATGCAAACACAAAGGAAATGTGTTCAATCCTTACGCCGTAGCTTACACACCCTACATCCCCCAGGGTTTTGATCCCAAACGCTTCCAACACAAAACCCCTGAAGCCCCGTAAACCCTTTAAGCCACCTCAAACACCCTTAAAAATCCAACCGCTCAGTAAACCCTAACCCCACACCCTAAACACACCCTAAACCCGAATCTAACCCTTTAATGGACCCTACCAAACCCTCGATTAAGCCTAGCCCGACACCCTAAAACCCTATAAGCCCTGAACCATATACACCCTTCACTAAACCCTAAACCCTAAACCCTAAACCGGCCCTTCACCCTCAACCCTCAACCACATACACCCCAAGCCCTCTACACCCCAATCCTAAATCCATGAACTCTAACCCTTTCAAGGACCCCTCGCCCTAAACCCTAAACCCCGCAAAAAACCTCAGGCCTTGATCGCCTGCGCCGGCAGCCGGAAACACTCTCCGAGCCTCCTTCGGCGCGCTTCCACCTTTCGAGCTTAAGGGTTTAAGGAAGGGTTTACGGTGTAGGGTTTCAGGGTTTAGGGTTTTGGTTTAGGGGTCCAGGACGTAAGGGCTTTACTGCTTTAGGGCTTACAAGGCCTTTACGGCTTCAAGGGTTCAGGGTTTTCGGATTCTAAGATTGTAGGACATTAGAGATTCAGGGCGTGAGGTATTACGGACTTATAAGGGTTTATGGGGCTTTGTGGGGTTCCGGGGCTTTAGGCTCTGGAGTTTAAGGGTTCAGGGTTAGGGGGCTTTAGGTTCGGTTTGATGCGTTTTAATAGAAAGCTTAGGGTTCCAGGGTTTAGGAGATGGCTTGGGCGGCGGCACTAGAGAGCTTAGGGTTTAAGGGTTGAGGGTTCAGAGTTTCGAAAGATTTCTGAAAGGCTCCTTCACAATATATATTCGAACCAGCCAGGGCCCCCATTGGGCTGGCAAGCAACTCCGGGCTTGGGGCAAAGGGTTTCGGGCTTTTTGGGCGGAACGGTTTTTGTCTACACTGGCAGACTCTTTTCTTCGCTGACCTCTTCTGCGAAGAGGATCCCTGCTTGACCCAAGTAATATAGGGGCCTTAATAATCGGGTTTTGGGGCCCAAGAAACTATAAATATAGTAAGGAGGCCCCCTCCCCCCCCAACAACAACAAAAAAAAAGTATTTGTAATTGTTCAAGCCCCTATATTACAAAAGCATCCTGCTGAGACCGGTGTCTTAAGGTACAGGTCCCATGGCTCCTCGCAGGGTTTAGGCTTTAGGGTGGTAGGGGATTGGGGGTTGTAGAGTTTTGAGGTTTGAGGTCTTGCGGTTAGGGGGAACAAGGATTTCGGCTTTTGTGTAGAATTTGGGGGGGGGGGGGGTGTAGGGCGGTTTAGAGTTATATGGAGTACAGTACGGGCTTAGGCTTTAGGGTTTGGGAATTTACGGTTTCATGACTCTTGTTCCTGGTATCTGTCATGCTGACTACGTCAAGGTAGCACTCATGTGCCATGGCCTCTTCGCTGCTGAATGCGCCTTCGGCCTCCCATTCACAGCTAAGGTTTAGGGTTTCGGGAGAGACTCCGAGGCGTCACTTCTGGATCGTGCTGTCCTACAATGTCTACAGTGAACCCCAGAAAGTTGGGACATGGAATTCTGGATGATTGGTGCTGGGATTCCCTATACTGTACTTCAAGGGTACTGTATGAGGATAATGATGTTCCAACTTTCTGCCTGTTGCTATAAAAGTAACAAAAGTCTGTATATTGCTGTTCCTATTCTGGGCGAAACAATTTTGTCTTCGAGGATTCTAGCCGTAAGAACTGGTTCACCAATAAGGAAAAGGAACTACAATGGAGACTGCAGGTAAACCAACAAATCAATCTCAAAGCGCACACCCTAAAGCCAGCCTCGCACCAAATTTCCAGGAGAATTGAAACTCCATGTGTGGGCTCGGGCTTCTAGTTGCACAGCTTCTTGTAGAGGGCCGATGCCTTAAAAAACCGAAAATACTAAATTCTGGTAACGTGCTGTGAGCAACCAAGTGGCACCGCCAAAGGTGACGCACAAGCCACATCCAAAGGAAAGTCGGCCTCCCCAACTGTAGCTCCAACGTGCAGGCCAACATTTGAGGCCAGCGTTGAAACCTGCCGCTGCCCCGCAATCCCCCCGGTGAGCACCTTGGCACATCGCCTCACCGTCATCTGCCAAGTGCGAGACAGGTTGGCCAAAAGGGGACCGCAGCCGTAGCACTGTATTGGCTGTCATGCAGCTAGGTACAGTACTGGCAGCATAGGCTCCACACCCGGCCAACGGTGTGAAATTTGCTTTCTGCTGTAGCCGCACTTCAGCAAATTCCGGGTAGAGCAAGCAGTTGGCAAACTGGTGTCAGAGCAACATCAGCTCAACAACTGCGCAATGACATGTTGCACTTGTCACACACCGGCTTCATGTGCGGAATTACATGTGAGGCAAAAACCGTACAAAGAACATCGGCCTCCACAACCCCAAGTCCTAGGAAGTCAACATATTTGACGACTGCACTCAAACCCTGTCGCTGCCCAGCACAGTGGCCATAGAAACCCGAGTTCAGCGACAGTGCATGCACGTATGTGGTGTGCCTTTGACAGAAACGGCCTTGTGCCACTGTGCTACGTGTACTTCCGCTTGCACGCAAATGCAGCTATCTACAAAGAAGGTGCGAGCATGCTTGCATACCCGCATGTTTGTATGCTTACTGTTATGTGCTGTGCAAGAGCAGGCCAAACAGTAGCCAAACCCAACGGCAAAACGGCCTCCCCAACTGTAGCTCCAACGTGGAGGCCAACATTTGAGGCCAGCGTTGAAACCTGCCGCTGCCCCGCAATCCCCCCGGTGAGCACCTTGGCACATCGCCTCACCGTCATCTGCCAAGTGCGAGACAGGTTGGCCAAAAGGGGACCGCAGCCGTAGCACTGTATTGGCTGTCATGCAGCTAGGTACAGTACTGGCAGCATAGGCTCCACACCCGGCCAACGGTGTGAAATTTGCTTTCTGCTGTAGCCGCACTTCAGCAAATTCCGGGTAGAGCAAAAAGTTGACAAACTTGTGCAACAGCAACATCAGCTCAACAACTGCGCAATGACATGTTGCACTTGTCACACACCGGCTTCATGTGCGGAATTACATGTGAGGCAAAAACCGTACAAAGAACATCGGCCTCCACAACCCCAAGTCCTAGGAAGTCAACATATTTGACGACTGCACTCAAACCCTGTCGCTGCCCAGCACAGTGGCCATAGAAACCCGAGTTCAGCGACAGTGCATGCACGTATGTGGTGTGCCTTTGACAGAAACGGCCTTGTGCCACTGTGCTACGTGTACTTCCGCTTGCACGCAAATGCAGCTATCTACAAAGAAGGTGCGAGCATGCTTGCATGCCCGCATGTTTGTATGCTTACTGTTATGTGCTGTGCAAGAGCAGGCCAAACAGTAGCCAAACCCAACGGCAAAACGGCCTCCCCAACTGTAGCTCCAACGTGGAGGCCAACATTTGAGGCCAGCGTTGAAACCTGCCGCTGCCCCGCAATCCCCCCGGTGAGCACCTTGGCACATCGCCTCACCGTCATCTGCCAAGTGCGAGACAGGTTGGCCAAAAGGGGACCGCAGCCGTAGCACTGTATTGGCTGTCATGCAGCTAGGTACAGTACTGGCAGCATAGGCTCCACACCCGGCCAACGGTGTGAAATTTGCTTTCTGCTGTAGCCGCACTCCAGCAAATTCCGGGTAGAGCAAACAGTTGACCAACTTGTGCAACAGCAACATCAGCTCAACAACTGCGCAATGACATGTTGCACTTGTCACACACCGGCTTCATGTGCGGAACTACATGTGAGGCAAAAACCGTACAAAGAACATCGGCCTCCACAACCCCAAGTCCTAGGAAGTCAACATATTTGACGACTGCACTCAAACCCTGTCGCTGCCCAGCACAGTGGCCATAGAAACCCGAGTTCAGCGACAGTGCATGCACGTATGTGGTGTGCCTTTGACAGAAACGGCGTTGTGCCACTGTGCTACGTGTACTTCCGCTTGCACGCAAATGCAGCTATCTACAAATTAAAGAAGGTGCGAGCATGCTTGCATACCCGCATGTTTGTATGCTCACTGTTATGTGCTGTGCAAGAGCAGGCCAAACAGTAGCCAAACCCAACGGCAAAACGGCCTCCCCAACTGTAGCTCCAACGTGGAGGCCAACATTTGAGGCCAGCGTTGAAACCTGCCGCTGCCCCGCAATCCCCCCGGTGAGCACCTTGGCACATCGCCTCACCGTCATCTGCCAAGTGCGAGACAGGTTGGCCAAAAGGGGACCGCAGCCGTAGCACTGTATTGGCTGTCATGCAGCTAGGTACAGTACTGGCAGCATAGGCTCCACACCCGGCCAACGGTGTGAAATTTGCTTTCTGCTGTAGCCGCACTTCAGCAAATTCCGGGTAGAGCAAAAAGTTGACAAACTTGTGCAACAGCAACATCAGCTCAACAACTGCGCAATGACATGTTGCACTTGTCACACACCGGCTTCATGTTGCTGGGTTATATACAAGCCCAGGAAAACATGTGCAAAGAATGTTGGTGCTGCCCCACGCTCGACGTCTATCATGTGTCAAGCACAATGGCAGAAAGACTTGCAGCAGCGACAGGCAAACATTGAACTAGTCTCCCTAGGGCTCCAGTTACCTGAATGATAGGCTACTGATTTACGGGGTCTTACATGGCTAGTCAAATACGACACTGCACGAACATATGTGGTGTTTTATGTTTGCGGGCGCTGTGCATGGAGTGCTTCTGTGTGTGTGTGTGTGTGCGCATCTCCAGACGGGTGTACATATATTCATATCTACACATTTGTCAGCTTGCTCTGGCTTGCTCTGTATGTTGTGGTTGTACACTACACCGCTTTTTCTACACTCGTGTTTATGCACGCAACATGCATGTTCGTGCTGGTGCTTGCCTCATATCTTCTTGTGTACAGCCACATAGGCAAGACATCGGCATGAGCACAGCATGCAAGCCACCATGCCAGAATGCAAATTCACAAAAGTCTCAAAGCCCTAAAGGCCCTAAAGCTTACCCTTAACCCTAAAGCCGATCCGTCTGCTGGGTCCAACGAGACAAGACCCGCCGTGTCGGAGCCATCAGCGTGAAACCCTCAAGTAGGCTTGCCTGTCATATACCCATTGTCAGTAAAGGCTACTAGAAGCCAGGAACCTGCAAACGGACCCGCATGTCTTTAAGCAACCAATCTTCAGCTTCGATGATTCTTTCGGACATGAGATCTTGACGAGCTCAGGGTAGCCTGCCGAACCCTGCCGGCCAGGGTGCGCGGGGCCTTAGACAGGGACGCATCGAGGCACTGCAAATCCTAGCTGATGCAAGCCACGAGCAGTAGGGCGTTGGGCAGAGTTTGCTTAGGGCTTGTTTTCACAATATAGTCAGAATAAACAACTAGGAGAAGCTCAAGTAACTATTCCAATCCCTCTTTCAGTAGGTTTGGAGGTCTCAAAACGTCTTGGGCTTCTGCACCAAGTCCGTAGCAGAGGCATGCAGAGGCCTGGGGCCGAGGGTTTACAAATCGCAAACCGTTGAGGTTGCTCCTTAAGGTTGATGGCTGTGGGGTATACATTAGAAGCTGCCCCCGCCCTGTAATAGTATCTATAAGGACTCTATTGGGGCCCTATTATATTCCTATTACAGGGTGGGGGCAGCTTCTAAGGTATACATGGGTGTAGGAATTCGTGACATGTTGGCCGCTTCCTGCCCGTCTTGTACACGAGTGTAGACGGTTCAGGGACTGCTGACAAGTGCGGGATGGCCGTTCAGTCTTTAACTGCTTCAACCCCTCAATCAAAGCACTCGCGTCTCTCGATCACCCAGCCATGACACAGCGCTTTTTGCAGCAATACGCCGGACAGGGTCGGCGGTGAACCTAGAACCTATGAGCGTATACTTGCCTTGTCTGCACAGTATGCCGCTTGCTTCTTGGATTTTGCATCTGCTGAACCTGAGGCTCAACCAATAAAACACAAAACAACACCGTTTGCTGGCCCTTATGTCACGAACCCTCAGAGCAATACGATATACGGGTTCGGGTTGTGCATGTGGTTCATAGATGTAACGGCTCCATTCATGGACGGGATATCGAAGCCGTCTTTGAGCTTCAGACAACAGGGCACCCTCATTTCGACTTTCATAACCATATATGCCCCTACAAGCCTACAAAGATTCTGGGAAACCCTACGAAGCCACCCTAAGCATAGTACGGAAGACCTCAGGCGCTGCAAGCAGCCAGGGTCTGCTGGAGCACGGCCACGAGCTTGCAGGCTTCTGGCTTGGCATCCTCTCCAGTTTTTCAAGAGAGGTTTAGGGTTCAGGGTCTGTGAGGTTTAGGGTTGAGGAAGTACTGTACGAAGTTAGGCTAAAGAGTAAGCAGTTTAAGGGTTTTAATTCGAAAGGCCTAAGGATCTGTTTTCTTGAGCAATTTGCTCCACAGGAACAAAAGGGAGGCCACATGGCCCCTGCACGCGGTACTTGCTGCCTGCAGGCTGAATGCGCAATGAGATCGGGTAGACAACGAAATCCAGCCCCGAGCGCGGCAGGCTCAGGGTTGAGGGGTAACACTGGCCCCTGAATTAGGGTCGTGCATATCACATGTCCTTAGAGTCTCACCATAAAGGCCCGAAAAAAACAGAGAAGGCAAAACTCGACACTCCCGATTTTAATACTGAACCCCGCCCAAACCTATAAACCCTAAAGCTCCTCCTCCATGGTGCCCCATCTGTCGCCGATGTTTTGAACAATGCCGGCCTCAGGCGCCGCGAGGAGCTTGAACATGGTTTTTGGGGTTGAGGGTTTAGGGTTTGGGACCTTTATGACACGTAGAGCTCACCGGAGATTAGGGTTCAAGGTTAGTGCCTCAAAAAAGACTACGTTCGGAAGTTTAGTCGTGTATAGGAGTTAGATCAAGTTAGATCGTGCAGTGAAATGTGAAGCCGTAGGCAGTAGTCCCTGGCGCTTGACAACACTGGTTCCAGATTAGCGATATCCAGGTGGTGGCAATCTGAGCCTGAAGGCTCCTGGCAACGTTTCGAAACATGGGACCTTGCCAAGGGCCAACAGCGCCCCCCAACACGAACACAGCAAACAGACGACGCACTAACATCAACAACACGAACGCCACACAAAGTGGTAGGAGCGCAAGAATCCCTAAACCCAAACACGCTGAACTCGCTTAACAGACCTGAGACACAGTGAGAGCTCAACAAGAACCCTACGATCGAAAATGCATAATCGGTTTAGGGTTTAGGGTTCTGAGCACAGAAACCGCGACCCACCCTACACCTGAAACTGCTAGTCCGACTTGAGACAAAAGCCCTCAGCCCCACAAACCCCCAAACAGTAAACCCTCCCAAAAAAGCCTAAGCCCTGAGCTCTGCAACTTAACCCTGACTGACGAGTATTTCAGTATACATACATGTCTGGGATGACCCGGCCTCAATCATCTGCTGCTGGTTAGCAGGGCTGTCCTCGCAGGAACATATACTATACTATAGCTTGTGTGCCATACTACTGTATATTATGCGAAACTAGCCTAGACTATACTATACGATCATAAACCATATAATACGTAACATACTGGTAGTCGAACATAGTAGAATGGTATAATATGTTATGTGGCAAGGCTCCTCAAGAAGCCGCCCCATTGCCCTATGCCCGTTGATTGCAATACAGTGCCATGTTGTGTCTGTTCAACGAGCTGCCACAGAATCAAACGACAAATCAATCTACCGTCTTTAGAGGGCGAAGGAAGAACAAGATTAAACTGACAACACTCTGACAACATCTACCACTTCCCAGCACCTAGAAGCGTAGCCCTTAGAGAAGTAAGCATGGCAACTCCGTTCAAACTGCTTCGCCTTTGTTCCCTTTTTCAAGCGCGGTCCGTAGCGGCCCCCAAAATAAATAGCCCCCAAAAAACTGAAGATTTAGGTGCTCACAGTCAGAACCCAAAGGCCGGTTTTGAGGGTATCACGATTTCGGGTTTCAGGGTAGAACAAGGTTCTAGGGGGAAAAATGGCGAACAAAACCCGCAGAAAGGCTGATGGTTACCTACGTCTACTGCTAAGTTTAGGGCCACTAGAAAAGACACGAAGTTGCAGCTTCGCCGATTCGCGATCGTGGAGGCTTTGGTGAAGTCCTTTGCCATCGACTGCAGTGCTTGATAGCACTGCTGCTGCGCTGGGTAAGCTGCATCGACGTTGAAGTTGAAACCTGAATGTGCCAGGACCAACACCTCCTACAGTTGCTGGTATTCCTTACAGTCACCGCTCTATAAGCGCTTAGAGTTACCCTCATGTTGGGGCAAAACCCTCAAACTCTAAAACCCTGAGCCTTCCAAAACCCAATTCAAAGCTGCCGTGACGATGGGGGGGAGGCCCAACAATGGGTTCGAGTTCGCGGCATGTCTGGCCCAGGTTGTTGGGTGGTATTGTTGCTGTGCCTACAGGGTGCAGGTTTAGCGGCACGAATATGTAATATGTATGTGTCGTGCTCAGGGAAAGTGTCGTCTCTATGCACCAGGATCCTAGAATCCTAGAATGAATCCCCCCCCTCTTCTGAGAAGCAATACAAGGACAGCAATACAATCTGCGTGGCTGACGGCTGCCTCGGGTCGCCTAGCCACCCAAAGACCCCACGAGCCACCAAGCAAGCACTATTCCTGAAATTCGACTACAGCGGCTTCTCATCTACATCCTTGTTTATGGAACCTCTGGCACATCCTACTTGCAAACGAGAAGACATGCACTGTGTCAAGATGAACTCAGGTAGGCAAATCAGACACAAGAAAACAACTGTACCGTACCCCAGATCCCAGAAAAGTTTTCGTAGAGGCAGCCTCCATGTTCGAAGTGCTGCATCTCTTCAGTTGACATGGCCCTGGAGAGGAGCACCTCCAGCATGCCATCTTTGCCCGCACGTGCCTTGGGTTTAGGGTCAGGGGGTTTAAGGTTTGTAGGCTTTACAAGACTTGGGGTTTAGCGGTTTGGGCCCTGCAAGGAATTTAGCCAGGGTATTCGAACTATTACTAGAAATAATCATGGCATTTTGGACCCAGCTCTGAAATATCACGCTGGTTTTGATGTGAAGGAGGCTGGAGCTTTAAGTGTGGTCTTCAGTATCGCAATCCTTGTTCCTGTTACCATCATGCTTCCCACGACTATGAGAGATGAACACTAAATACTAATCACGACCCTGAGCCCGAGGCTCTAAACCCCAACCGAAAGCCCTAGAATGAACTTGTCCACTCCTCGGGGCTTGCAGCTTTTGGATCGCGGACGTGACTGGGGAGGACGTCAGTAGTTGGAGGATCATGGTGCTTGCAATACAAATTAAAAAGACAGAACATATAGGGACGACAATCAGGGAAATGTGGACAGAATTAATGAGCTTTCCGACTGCTATAGTGTATCATCGTCTTTGACCTTGACACTATTTCTACCAAGCCCTGAAGGATCCCGTCTACAGTTTACAGCTTCAGGATTTTAGGACCGGCCCCAACACCCGGATGCATGGTCTCTGCGCAGCAGGTTTTCATTGCGCCCGATCTACCGTAAGTAACTTATCATCGGCATTCATTTATCGTCACCACATCCACCAATAGTACATCATGGTTGCTATGCCTTCTACGTTGCAAAAGCCGGGGCACCTGGATGCCCGCATCGAAAGGGATCTGTCGCGTCTTGTCCGGATAAGCCGAAGCCTCTCAGTCTCCAGCGAATCTTGTTTGGGGTTTAGGGTTTACTTGGAGGATCATGGGACTTAGTAACTAGGGTTCTAAATAAGGTAACTACACTTATAACTCCAATTAGGGTACTTATAACCTTACTTACTAAGTCCCATGAACCCCATTGTAGAAGCCCTATAGATCCCTTTAAGGAACCCTATTATAGAACCATAAGGAACCCGAAACCTTACTTACTAAGTCCCATGATCCTCCAAGTAGACCCTAAACCCTATAGATCCCTTTAAGGAACCCTATAGATCCCTTTAAGGAACCCCTTTTAAGGAACCTTACTTACTAAGTCCCATGATCCTCCAAGTAGGGGCTTAGGGTTGACAGGTTGCATCGTGTGGGGGCGCCTGGGAGGACTGGAGGAGAGAAAGCGGTAGTAAAACCCTATAACTTAGAATGGGCCCCCACCCTGTAATAGCGGTATAATAGCAATATAATAGGGCCCTAATATAATCCTTATAGTCACTATTACAGGGTGGGGGCAGCTTCTAACCTATAACCTAAATCCAGGTTGCACAGCCTCAATCGCAGGCCCGACC